TAAACCTTATAAATCCTTAAACCCGCTTCCCTTGGGTCTGCAGGCGGCTTGTTCAACTCATGGACTTCGACTCCCGACCCTTCGAACCCTAAAGGGTTTAGGGTTTAGGGTTTAAGGTTTAAGGTTCAGGGTTTAAGGTTTAGGGTTTAGGGTTTATGGTTTAGGGGTTTAGGGCTTCAGGGTTTAAGGCTTAAGGTTTAGGGTTTAAGGTTTAAGGTTTAAGGTTTAAGGTTTAGGGTTTAAGGTTTAAGGTTTAGGGTTTAAAGGTTTTGGGTTTAAGGTTTAGGGTTTAGGGTTTAGGGTTTAAGGTTTAGGGGCTTAGGGGTTTAGGGCTTTAGGGCTTTAGGGTTTAGGGTTTAGGGTTTAGGGTCTAGGGTTTAAGGCAACAGACGAGCGCCCTTCCATGCCCTTCCAAACGACATCTTCCAAGCGCTCGTCCTGTGGTTGGGCTTCATCGACACGGTACAACCGATGGCCATCTTGAGAAACTCTTTCCCGGACAAGAACGCCATAGAACCGGTAGCTGTGGTGGAACTCTTCAAGCATATCGTTAGCCTCTCGGTGCCAGGCGAACGTGGAAGAACAAGAAGGAGGATTGCTCATGGATATAGTAGAAAGGAACTAAGAAAGGAAACCAGAGAACGCATAAACAAAACACATGCAAGGCAGCGCGATGCAGTCAGCGTCAGGAAATTCCACCACCGTGATTAAGCCTAATCCGTGACATTACAAGGTATCCCGGTTTCGGGTTTAGGGTTTAGGGTTGAGTCACCCTATCATTTCGAGGGGTATTCTGTGTCCGAGGGGTATTGGCTCTCTGAATAGCCAAAAAGGATGCCCTAAAACCTCAGCACTAAACCCTTCGCGAGATAAACCCGCACAGGAGGGCCTGTGACGTAGGGCTTCAATTCCCTAAATGGGTTACATATTCGATGGCTAGTTTTCCCCTGCTCCTACTACTACTACTACTACTACTACTACTACTACTACTGCTACTACTACTACTACTACTACTACTACTACTATTACTACTTGATTTGAGTCACTAGAGCCCTGCAAAGGCGGCGTTACGTGCACCCGCGAAAGTTCAGTTTTGGGGACCACCACTACTTGGAGTTTCGATGTACTTTTGGGGTTAGGGTTTAGGGTTTAGGGTTTAGGGTTTAGGGTTTAGGGTTTAGGGTTTAGGGGTTTAGGATTAGGGGTTCAGGGTTTCGGGTTTAGGCTTCTAGTCCAACCATACATGGGCTGTGATTTGAACGATTTCGGGGCCTACGGACATTTATCGCCAAACCCGGAGGCTAGCCAGAAGATCTCTGGTGGAGTCGCGAAACCCCTAAACCCTAAACCCTAAACCCTAAACCCTAAACCCTAAACCCTAAACCTCTAAGAACTCTGAACCTGCGAGTAGACCCTCAACTCCAAAACTTGAATCCAACACCTAGGAGTTAGGATTAGGGGGCCCCGTTGGGGATATAGACCCTCTCAATAAGGTCCCCGTAAGAGAGCCAGAAGTAGGGATAAGAAGCGTCCCCTTTAAGGGGGTCTCCCTAATACTACCTAGGATGACAACCCCGCCCCCCCTTGAGAGCGCGGCATGGTGAAGGTAACCCAGTCGACGAAGCTTCCACCATCTCGTGCCTGCTAAACCCTAAACCTCTGCACCCTAAAGTTTGTTTTGAACTTGGTACACTTCTCGATTTGTGCATAAACTTTAGGGTTCAGGGTTCAGGGTTTAGGGTTTAGGGTTTACTTTAGGTTTCAGGCTTCCTTCCTGATAATGGAGAATACGGCTGTGCCTTCAGAGGCCAGGACGTACATCCCAGCCTGGGGCAAATCTGAGCAGAGTGCTAACGATAGGTGCAAATTCTGGTAGTACTTGGAGGATCATGGGACTTAGTAAATAAGGTTACAAGTCCCCTAATTGGGGTTATAAGTGTAGTTACCCTAGTTATAACCCTACTTACTAAGTCCCATGATCCATTAAGTAGTGACAGTGGTCGGGAAAGTAGTCCTTGTTCGACCCTGTCGTTGTCATAGCAGCAAGGACTGGCTGCGCTGGCAGCACGACGGAAACCAATGAGGTCCCTCTTTGTTCACCTTATACTGCAAGCGTCAGTGCATCAAAAAATGCTGTAATCCATGCGTTTGGGTGTTAAGAAATGGTAGAGCTACCGACTGGAAATAGCACGTTGCAACAACTGCGCATTGCAAACTAGTTGTAGATAGGTGAAGATGCTAAGATTCATTACTCAGCTGAGAATTGTTAAGCGGAAACCGGAAACGCTGGCAACATCGAGAGCAAGACTCATTACAGCAGGAAGCACGTGAATTCCCATGTATACAATGGCAGGGCCAGTTCAAAACTTATGGAGGGTTTAGGGTTTAAGGGTTTAGGGTTTAGAGTTTGGGGTAACAAGAAATCACGCTGAAGTTACACCATGAAGGGGCGTGACTTCAGTAGTGCTTAGAACCCGGAAATCCTACGTCCTACGCCCTACGCTCAAAGCTGCCAATCTTCTGAACCCCAGGGTTTTGGGTTTGATTCTAACTCTTGAACCCTAGACTTAAAATATCGCCTCGGGCGTTTCCACCGTGAGCTCACTGAGTCCGGACACGCGATAGCCTGCGCTTTATAAAGTAGAGGGTGCAGGGTTTGGGGTTTAAGGTTCAGGGATTGAATAAGTTTTAGTAGTCATAATCAAGCTCTGTTGGTGTGAAGGCAGTAGATGGGTGCTTGGGATATTCGGTTTACACGGGCACGTAGCACTTCTATGTCTTCTAACTACCGTGGATCTGCAAGCAGGGAACGAGTGCTCCTTTGCAGAATGGATTGAAAGATTTATGGACCTTAAGGAACCCTAAACCCGAAACCCTAAACCCTAAACCCGAAATCCGAAACCCAAAGCCCTAAGCCCTAAACCCTAAACCCTAAACCCTGAACCCTGAACCCTAAACCCGAAACCCGAAACCCTAAACCCTAAACCCGGTCTGGTCGATGGGCTCAGGGAATGGGTCCCATCCTACCGGATGCGAGGCTCGGAAGAGATGACTCCTCAGGGAATGGGCACTGTAGGAGCCTTAATAATTAGACTAGGGTTTTGGGGTTCCTTTTAAAGGGTTCCGTAGAGGGTTCTATAAGGGCTACTATAAGGGTTTAGGGTGTAGGGGCCTTAATAATCAGAACAGGGTTTTGGGGTATATTATAGTATAATTATACCCTAAACCCTAAACCCTAAACCCTAAAACCTAAACCCTAAACCAGCAAAACAGTATAGGTAATTATTTCGTCCCCTATATTACAAGGCAAGAGGGTGGACGACCTGGAGTTTAAAATCCAAGGCTTGGGGCCTAGGGTCTCCGCAAGTGCTAGTAGCCTCTTCACACCACCCTGAACATTCCACAAAGACACGAAACCACCGATCAACAACCCGGCGAGAAGAATACACGCATCTGTAAGAATGTAAGCACGCAGTGATGTAGGTAGCAGGACCCTAAACCCTAAACCCTAAACCGTTTAGGGTTTAGGGTTTAGGGTTTTAGCACTCCGACTCCGACTCCTGCGGCCACGCCACTACTCACTACTCCGACCACCACTGTGACTGCCACTGGAGGGGTACACTGCACAAAGGATCTATTCGGGCTTGGGGGTCCGATATTAACACTTCAATTTGTTAGGGTTTAGGGTTTAGGCTTTCTAGGCTTTAGGGTCTTTTTTAGTTTAGGGTTTAGGGCCTTCAGGCAAATGCCGCGAGGTTCGGGGACGAGGTTTTGTCAGCTCCACCTGCTTCATAGAAAATGCCGTAAATCCTGTATTCAATACCCTACAGTCCCAGGGTTTAGGGTTTTTCTTTTGGCTTAGGGTTTAGGGTTTAGGGCTTAGGGTTTTAGGGCCTAGGGTTTAGGGCCTAGGGTTTAGGGCTTCGGGTTTAGGGTTTAGGATTTAGGGCTTTGGGTTTAGGGTTTTTCTTAAGTGCAGTGGAGCGGCATTTACGACCATCCCAGCCATGTCGGGCCCAGACTAAAGGAGGGTTTAGGGCTTAGGGCCTAAACTTTAAACTTCAAAGACCAAAAAATGACCGAAATGCCACCTGGCGCCACCACATAGTCCAAGAAATAGCCCTCTGGAATCGTAGCTGGCGGAACCGGCCTGCGGCATCATAGGTCAAAAGAAGGAGCAGGAGTGGGACTTATGGTGCCGGGTTTGACAACCATTTAGGGTTTAGGGGTTTAGGGGTTTAGGAGTTTAAGGGTTTAGGGGTTTAGGGTTTAGGAGTTTAGGGGTTTATGGGTTTAGGGGTTTAGGGGTTTAGAGTTTAGGGGTCTAGGGTTTGGGGTTTAGGGTTTAGGGGTTTAGGGTTTAGGGGTTTGGGGTTTGGCAGTTTAGGGGTTTGGGGGTTTTGGGGTTTAGGGGTTTAGGCTTTAGGGTTGGGTTAGCTAAGACTACGAATGACCACTATGGTCATGATAACGTACACAAAGCTTGTGGAACGAATACTTGTCGACGCGAAAACAGACCCTAAACCCCTAAACCAGTAAACCCCTGAACCCTAAATGGTTGTCAAACCTTTGGAGAGCCTTCTGTATAATTTGTGGGTTTCCGAAAATAGGGGACCCTAATATAGTACTCTAAATAGTAGGATCCTTATTTACAAGGACCCCAAAGTAAGGGACCCCTTGTTTTCGGAATCTCCCATTTGGGTTTCGGGTTCAAACATTTTGGCCCGAAATCTGGGCTTCGGGCTTAAGGGCTGGGCCTGGTGTAATCTAAGTATACGGTTTAGGGTTTAGGGTTTAGGGTCCCTAAGAATGAGGTTTCGAGTTTACGGGCTAGGGTTAGGTACGGTCAGGTTTCCGGGTCAGAGGTTCGAGGTTTAGGGTTTAGGGCCCTAGGCCTTATTAGGGTTTTAGGGTTTAGGGTTTAGGGTTTAGGGTTTAGGGTTTAGGGTTTAGGGTTTAGGGTTTAGGGTTTAGGGCCCTCGGCTTTAGGGTTTAGGATTTCAAGGCCTCTTGAACTCTAGAGCCTCAAATCAGGAAGCTCAGGTGCTACAGACCCTCACCAAGGAGTAGCTGGTAATATAGGGGCCTTCATAGTTAGAACAGGGGTTAGGGTTTTGGTTTAGGGTTTTTGGTTTAGGGTTTAGGGTTTAGGGTCCTTCATAATTAGAACAGGGTTTTGGGGCCCATTACAATATAATCCGAATAAGGTGCCCCAAAAATAATAGTAGGTAATTAGTAAGGCCTTTTCAGTATGGCTTCAACCCTAAACCCTAAACCCTAAACCTGAAACCCTAAACCCGAAACCCTAAACCCGAAACCCTAAACCCACACCCTAAACCCTAAACCCTAACCCCGAACCCCAAAGCAATTCGTATCAGTGGCAAGTCTGCAGGTCGCCAGGCTTTGAGGTCCGTTGGACTTCTTCGGATTCGAGTTTCGGGGTCCCAGTGTTTTTTTAAAGTGTAATGTCGCCTTTTTTGCCAAAGGCTCCAGCCACTACAGGAGCCTTTGGCAAAAGAGGCGACATTACACTGGTCCCAATGTTTAGGGTTCGGGGTTTGGGTTTAGCGTGTTGGGTTCGATTTTTGAATCTTAGTTGGGTTCGATGTTTGAATCTTAGTTGGGTTTAGGGTTCAGGGTCTAGGATTTAGGTTTTAGGGTTTAGGGTTTAGGGCTTAGGGTTTGGGGTTCGGGGTTTGGGTTGCGGATGTTGGGTGCGATAATTGAATTTTCGTTTGGGTTTAGAGTTTTGGTGTTTGGATTTTGGGGTTCAGGCGTGGCTTCATGTGGATTTGGGGGCTGTGCCTTTCGGGCTTTGGAATTCCTAGTCCTGGTACAGTAGGGATTGGGCTTCGGCTTTTCGAGACCAAACCCTGAACCCTAACAGCCCTTAAAAACCTAAACTCTACACCCTAGACCCTAAACCCTAAGAGCCCTTAAAACTTAAAACCCTAAACTCAAAACCCCACGCAATTTTAGGGTCGGGTGGCTGAATGTCAAATGCTTCGGGTCTCGTGCTGCCTGCCGAAGAAGGTCTCCATCACCCATGTGCTGCGCCTCGGAGCTTCGAGACGGGATTCGGGCGTTTAAAACTTTTGGGCTTAGGGAACTCCAGTCATGTAGCCTTAAGAACGATGCCTTTAAAAGGGTTCTTTAAGGGATATTATGGGAAGTTAGTTTAGGAGCCTTGGTGACTTAGCTTCTGAGTAATGTTATATCATAGCTACTGTATCATCGGGAGCGCCGAGACATTCTGTTCCAATTACTACGTCCTCGGTGTTAGGCACGTAGGCTTGGGGCGTCAATGCTTTGGGTTTCGGAGCTTGGTACTTGGTTTGCAAGGGCTTTAGGGTTTAGGGTTTAGGGTTTCCAGGATTCGCTCCTGCTCAAGCAGTGAGCGAAGTTGTTGTTCTGTCGCTGTTAATGCTAGGTAGGTGTGTCCTTACTGTCGCCACTACTGCTGTAGGGCGATTACGTGCGGCATCAAACATAGCATGAGCCTGGTCGACTGCAAGCTTGAAAGCTCTAACGTTTAGGGTTCATTGGGATCGAATCATAAAGACGCTTCGTTCTTCCAAACAAGACTTCTTCAACGCATTCCCTGCTCTCACCTCACCCGGGTGTTGATACCACTCGGCACAACGAGCACATCCCTTCTGTATTACGGCGCCTAAACCCTAAACCCTAAGCCCTAAACCGTGGCTCTAGCAGAATAGCGAGGCCAGGGTCCAATCCTAAACCCTAAACCCTAAACCCTGAACCCTAAACCCTAAACCCCTAAACTTGAGGTCAGGGCGGTCCATCCAGCGCATCCGGTGAATGTGGGTTCGTCACAATTACCCAGACACTGTACCTCGGCGAAGCCGAAGGTCAGTGCACTCAGGGTCCCAAGTAAGGGTCTAGGGTTTAGGGTTTAGGGTTTAGGGTTTAGGGTTTAGGGTTTAGGGCCCAAGTAAGGACGCCTACTAACCTACTCTAGAATTCGAGGTAGACTCCGTATTCGTTACTAAAAGACTATGTAAGTCAAGTGATCAGTAGCAAGTGTCCCTATCAACATCCAGCGCAATGAAGTTGGATATAGGAATGGTAGCTCTCCCAACTTACCTTGCGCCAGAACTTGGAATGCTATCTGCTGCGGGATGCACACCCGCCACAACTCTGGACTTGCAAAGTTTTTCTGTTGTAAGTGCATGGAGACGACCTCTAAGGCTAAGTCTCTCTGAGGGTGAATAAACATCCATACCTCAATTCGATCGGTATAGTATGAACGCAGAACATACTGATCACGCAGCGGCATTTCCAATCTGTCCCAGATTTACCTGACGCTCATCAACCTTGCAAGCTTCTGACTCTTAAGGCAAAAATCGAAACTTCAGAAGCTCTAACCGGTCTAAGCGACTGATTCCCAGGTTCAATGATCTTCGACTGGGCGAAGTAGATGGTCGCAGCATTCTTGCGATTCCACTCCTGTGCAAGAGAAGGGTCGGACTCGCAAATCTCGGTTCAGCCTTCCTACCAGTGCTGTCACCTAAAGAGTAACCGTAAACTTGGCACCATCGGCGTCACACTGGCTTTCTAGATGTTGTGATTATTCTTCGACGTGTTTACACATTTTTCTTCGCCTGACTCGTGTTGCTGTTATTCAACTGCTATTATTCCCCGCATCACTGTGTGGGGTTTTGTTTTTAAGGTGTGGTGATGGTGGTGGTGGTGGTGGTGGTGGTGGTGGTGGTGGTGGTGGTGGTGGTGGTGGTGGTGGTGGTGGCGGTGGTGGTGGTGGTGGTGGGTTGTTGGCTGTCGTTGAGAATGCTGTTGTTAATGTTGTTGTTGTTGCTGCTGCTGTTGTTAATGTTGTTGTTGATGTTGATGTCAAAGCTGTTGCTGATGTTGCTGCCACGGGTGTTAAAAATGGTTTTGTAAATGTTATTGTTGTTGTTGTTGTTGCTGCTGTTCTTGGTGGTGGTGTTGTTGTTGTGCTTATTACTGTTGTTGTCGATGTTGTTCTTGATGGTGCGTCAATGGTGTTGTTAATGTTGTTGTAAATGATGCTGTTATTGCTGCTGCTGTCGTTGTTCCTTTGCTGCTGTTGTTGTTGTTGCTGTGGCTGTGGTTATGGTTGTCGTCGTCGTGGACGTTGCTATTGTTGAAATTGATGTTGTTGTTAATGTTGTTGATGTTGATGTTAATATTGGTGTTAATGTTGTTGTAAATGTTGTTGTAGTCGTTGTTGCTGTGGCATTTGCTATTGTTGTTGTTGCTGTGCTGTCGCTGTTGTTATTGTTGTTGTTGTTGTTGCTGCTGCTGCTGCCGCTGTTGCTGTTGTGGTCGTCGTCGTCGTCGTCGTCGTCGTCGTTGTTGTTATGGTTGTTGTAGTTGTTGTTGTTGTTGTTGTTGTGGTTGTTGCTGCTGCTGCTGTTGCTGCTGTTGCTGCTGTTGCTGCTGTTAGCTGCTGGTGCTGTTGTTGGGGTGTTGCTGTCGTTGTTGGCATCGTTGTTAGCATTGCTGTTGTCGTCGCTTTTATTGTTGCTGCGGTTGTCGGTGTGGCTGCTATCGTTGTCGTTGTCGTTGCCATTGCCGTTGCCGTTGGTGTTGGCGGTGTTGTTGGTGCTGGTGGTGTTGGTGGTGCTGGGGTTGTTGGTGATGTTGGTGCTGTTGGTGGTGGTGTTGTTGTTGCTGCTGCTGTTGCGGTTGTCACTGCGTGTATGTATCAACGCATGCATGAATGCATGCATGCAAGACCCCATACAAAGGGCTTCTGTCAATTCTGCCAAGACCTTAGGCACAGCACCCGCACCCTGAAGCACGGCCCAAGATAAATATCGGGGCCTTAATAGTCAGAATAGGGTTGTCGGGCCCATTATACTATCACCTTGTAATTATAATACGGAACTATAATACGGAACCTCCACGACATAGTATAGGTAATGATTTAGGCTTCTAAACTATGTCATAAACCCTTGCGCTAACCTCGAATCCGAAGGCCCTAAACCCTAAACCCTAAACCGCGTACTGCCGCCAGGGCTCTCGCACGCACCATGCCTCCGACGGCTGGAAGGGCACTCCACCTGTGTTTAGGGTCTCGAGTTTAAGGTTTAGGGTTTAAAGTTTAGGGTTTCGGGTTTAGGGTTTAGGGTTTAGGGTTTAGGGTTTGGGGTTTAGGGTTTAGGGTTTAGGGTTTAGGATTTGACGTTTAGGGTTTAGGGTTTAGGGTCGTAGGCTCAGCAGGGACAGGGCTTCGGGCTTCTAGGGATTAAGGACAATCAGTGCTGGGATTATACAGTACTCTTAAGGATTGAGGCAATGAGGTTTCCAACTTTTGCGATTCTCCTGTAAGGGTAGTTGAGGCTTTGGGGTATTGGGCTTCGGACTTGTGGGGTTGCCAGGTGTTTGCGAGGATTCGGCTGCCGTAACTTGCTAGCACTGTTGCCTGACATCTCCAAAGTCCCCTAACCCTAAACCCTAAACCGCCCTTTCCTCCAAGGCTTCCCGTTACTCCTAATGCACGCGAAAAGCTTAGAGTGCAATCTAATGTAGGGTTTGAATAATTACAATAGGGTTTTGGGGTATATGATACTTGAATTACAACAAGGAGCCCCCAAAATAGTATAGCCCCCATATTACACCCAAACTCCTCACATCCCCGATTTGCATTGTCCTCTCCTCGTCAAATCCTGAAAGCTAAACAGTTGTCGGGCTAGGCGGCCAGGCCATAAACTCTCAGCTTTTTAGTGATACCTTGTAGAAAGAACCCGGACTGTTCCTCCTTATGAGAGCCACATACTCTGCCGGGGATCCGCAACGGGATCCTAATCTATAGAACTACTCATACCTAGCATCTGAACTTGTGTCTTCTCAATTTGATTCGAACCTGCCCCTTCGGCACAGCCCCTCGACACCCAATCCTCAAGATTGCGTCTCGGCTTCCCGGCAAAGACGACAGCTTCCTTCTTGCTGCATGCTCAAGAAACCTCATGTGGGGCATCGTTTTTCGTGCCGACGCAATCACTAGGAATTCAGGTGCAGGTTTTAGCCCTAAACCCCAAGCCCTATACCCTAATCCCTGCACCCTATTCCGTGAACCTCAAGCCAGATACCCGAATCCCTAAACCTAAATAGCTAAACCCTCTTCCCTGAACCCAGGCCCGATTGAACGGTTTCAACTGGGTTGCTGATAAGAAACGTCAACTAAGCTACTAGAATAAGGAGGCCCGATGCTTTGCAATATACCACCATTATGGTTCTGTAGGGGCCTTATTAATTAGAGTAGGGTTTAGGGTTTAGGGTTTAGGGTTTAGGGTGGGTTTTGGGGCCCATTATGTGAAGCTCACACAAATGAACCCCCAAAATAGTATAGGCAATTGTGAAGACCCCTATGATTAACTTAGATTAAGTTCCCTAACAGCAACCCAGTCAACGGGAGAGGCGCGAGGAAAGAGCTTCGGCTCCCGAGGGACACCAGCTACAGCTGATGAGCCGCTTCGAAGTTTAGGGTTTAGGGTTTAGGGAGTCCGGGTCCACGACAAGGGGGGGGGGGGGCGGGGTTTGCGGAGTTGTATTAGTTCTATGAATTGTCAGATGAAGGTTATTAGGGTGTAGGGTTATCAGGATACTGCTGAAAATGCTAATGTTTATACTATGGGAGTCGGAGCTCTTACCAACTATTCGCGCAAAAGGAACAACATTGATCGCTCTTGTTCTCCTATATTTTTCAACATATCATTCTAAAACCCAATCCCCGACGACCGGTGAACACTACACACGGCCTAGGGTTTAGGGTTACTACACTTTCAACCCCGGGGTACACTCATCCATTTTGGCCGAGGGACAGCGCTCACCCTGCATGTCCTGATCGTCTGCTGCGACCAGAAACTCGTACCTGAGTCTGAATTGTCGCTCTGTGCCACACGGCAACCCGGCTCCTCCTTTAGGGCTATTAGGGTTTGTGGCCTATTTAGGGTGTAGGGTTGTTAGGGTTTTTAGTGTTTAATTTGCCATGGGTTGAGGGACTACTTCGTTGCGATAGCATTCGCTAAACACGGCAGACGAAAGTCTACCCAAAGCAAAAAACCGACAAAAATGCAAGGTAGCTACGTTGTCGGTCGTTAAGACCTGAAGGATTTCGAAATAAACGCCCGGAGTCGCTTGCTCATAGCGAATATAACCCTAAACCCTAAACCCTGAACCCAAAATAAACTGCAACAATGTGTCGTCAGAGAACAGCTGAACAGCAGCTCGCCGGTAGCTAGCTCGCGCCTAAAATCATTAAAAGCGAGCTCATGGCTTAACAAGAAGTAAACCTAACCCCTTGCCCGACGCAAGAGGCCAACCCTAAACCCTAAACCCTAAACCCTACCTTACACGCGCCCTACCATTCCAGCATCCTTGGCCCAGCCGTCGCTGAGAGCTCCTGTATGAGTGTGGTTTTGGCCAACATCAAAGAGCCGGACCTTCACAGCTTTAGGGTTTAGGGTTTAGGGTGCGTCACCTACCCAAGCCCAAGCCAATATGATATGATATGGGTAGTTCTCCAGACTAGCGTCCCTTTTTATAAGGGTGCCGTACTCTATTGGGGACCTAAAAAGGGACCGTAATTTAGAGAACTACCCATATTCTCTATTCACAGCAGAGCGCTTGCATTGCAACCGATGGGAAAATCACATGTTCGCTTTGCAGCCGACATCAAAAGACTGAATGTGCAAAGCCTTGCTATCTTCTGTGTTCGCAGTACCTCCGACGAACAGCAAATGCCCACAATGTCATGAGCACGCATGCTGGAACGCGTGATAACGTCTATGATCACAATACTGCTGCGAAGCAACTCAAACCGGAAGCCCTAAACTCCCTAAACCCTGGACCCTTAAAAGCCTAGGTGTGTCAGGATTCAAATACACCAATCCGAGGCCGGTCTCACTGGGCCCACGCACTGTGCTGGCATCACGATGCGCAAGATCGGAGGCAGGTCCGTGAGGGGCGTGGTCACCGGGTTCTGGGCCCAGAGCTGATTCGGCTTCAGGATTCAAGCTCCCTACACCCCAAACCCTAAACCCCAAAATCTTAAGCTCTAAACCCTAAACCGCCTAAACTCTACACCTTAAACCCTAAACCCGAAACCCTAAAGGGCTCAAGCTTTGGGGTTTGGCAGGGCATTGGGATTCAAAGATCAAGGTTGTCAAAGGCTACAGGTCAGGCTTTAAAAGACAAACACACACACACACACACACAACCGAAGACTGCTCGAAACTTGATATAGGGGCCTTAATAGCTAGAATAGGGTGTGGGGGGGGGGTATATTATACTTTAACTAGGATAAGAGACCCCCAAAACCGGTATTGGTAATTCTTAAACCCTAAACCCCTAAACCCTAAACCCTAAACCCTAAACCCTAAACCCTTGAGGCCCCTAGATTACCCATCTGCTGCGGTGATTCAGCCTGGCTAGGTCCCACTCATAGCCTCCTCTTGGACGATCAACAGAGAGACAAATCACGGTTTAGGTTTTAGGGTTTAGGGTTTAGGGTTTAGGGTTTAGGGTTTAGGGTTTAGGGTTTAGGGCTTAGGGTTTAGGAGTTTCTGGGGACTGAAGAAGTGGATAATTACTCACAGCTAGAAAGACAAAGAGACCCTGCCACCTCCCCAATCATCAAGTTATTCTGCCAACGGCTGCCAACGACTCTGCCGGTTTAGGGTTTAGGGTTTAGGTTTTTTGGTTGAGGGTTTAGGACGTAGGGTTTAGGGTTTAGGGTTTAGGGTTTAGGGTTTAGGGTTTAGGGTTTAGGGTTTAGGGTCTATCCTACACTAATGAGACTCGGGGTCACTTGCATGCTCCAATCAGCTTTTCTTTGTGTGCACTCTGTGTGTGTGCGTATGTGGGTAGTTGTCAAAATTATGGTCCCTTTTGGGGTACCCTAAATAATCGGTGCCGTATCATAGTAAGGGCCCAAAAAGGGACCCTAATTTTGACAACCACCCATGTGCGTACGGCTGCGTTGGCTTTTTCTTGCTCAAGGCTGACCCTTCTACTTCTCCGTCGTGGTTTCTCAGACTTGGCGACAGCGGGATTCCATAAAAGCCCTCGCCAGATTCTTGCTAGAGAACCTAGAGCTATCAGAATAAGGAGGCAAAGCGAGCCACACTCCTGAGCCCTCAATGAACCCTATATAAACCTAAACTAAACCCTAAACCCTACACCCTAAACCCTAAACCCTACACCCAAACCCTGACTCCGAAACCCTCATCCCAGAGTTGAGTCCGAGCCAGGGGCGTAGTAGTAGAGCCAATTCGTCGTTTCGAAGAAGATCGCCACCGGCATGGAAACTGGGTTCGACTTGTTCGTCCAGGCCAGAAGAACCTCAGAGCTTAAGGTTTAGGGCTTTGGGTTTTCGGGTTTCGGGTTTAGGGTTTAGGGTTTAGGGTTTAGGGGTTTAGGGTTTAGGGTTTAGGGGTTTAGGCTTTGGTCTGGGCCCTTTAACAGGGCACGTATGGTCCTTGAATGTGGGTATTTAGGGTATATTAGCGGGTAGTTTGGGAGGTTCTTGAAACCCTAAACCCTAAGCCTAAACCCTGAACCCTAAGCCTATACTGAACTTAGACCCCTAGCAAAAATTCTAATTTTAGCTGCTTCTTCGGGTTTATAGTAGCCAAAGATTAAAAATTACTCCCAAGTACCCCTAAGAAGCCCCAAGCCCAAAGCCCTAGGCCCTAAACCCTTTACGCATCGACCCAGTACCTGAGGCGAGCTCATTATTCGGCCCCGCCCCTCGGGGACCTTGACTTACAGGAAGGAAAAATGCTGTTTTTTTTTTGTCGCCCCTTTTCCTCTAGCATGTTCTGCAAAATGCTGGATTTTGCGTTGTGTTTTTCAGGGCTGAGCTTGGGATGGTTTAGGACAGGTTTAAGTGCCTAGGGTTGAGGGTTGAGGGCCTCCCTCCCAAAGCGACACTCGGCACTGGAGCAAGACTGGAGAATCGGGTTTTTTGGGCAAGTATCGACGCTTACCGCTGGGGCCTTCGTGCTGGTGAATTAATGCTCGGGACGTTATTCTTGCTCATCGGGCGGGCATGAGAGGGTTCATCGTTCCAAGGTCTAGGTGTTGAGCCTTGGTTGCAATCTAGCAAGTATCTTTCAAGTACAACCATCAGTAGCGAATTTCAAGAATAGGATACCTGTAACCCTACTTCATGAACACCCTCTGGACTCTCTACAAAACAGTGCGAAACCTTGCAAATACCCTTACAAAACCGTACAACACCCTTCTGAAACCAGTATACCACAGCTATCGTAACCAGTAGCATACTCTTACCAAAACCGGGTTTTAGCGGCTGCTTGGACGATTCCCTGCATATACGCACTTCGTACACCGGAACCAGGATGTGGAACCCGTACAGAACCCTGTTATGCTTCATGGGTAGCCTTGATAGAACTTCACTAAACCCTAAACCCTAAACCCTAAACCCTAAACTTCAAAGGAACCAGTCCACCCTCACTCTCGGATCCGCGCAGGCTCAATTCGCACACCAGGGAAGGTCCACACCTAGAGGGTTTAGGGTTTAGGGTTTAGGGTTTAGGGTTTGGGGCTTAGGGTTTAGGGTTTAGGGTTTAGGGTTCGGCTGTTGTTCCCCCAGACCCTAAAACCTCGCTTGGATGTAGGCTTTTGGGTTAGCCCTTATGGCTTGAAAAGTTCTTGGCTCAAGATCAGGTCATGGTGGCCTCCGGAGATAGGCTTTAGGGTTTAGGGTTTTAGAGTTTGGGCTTCCGGTTCAGCCGTGGCTTCGTTCTTGGACTGTAAGAGCGTGCATGCATGCTACAGGTCGTCCCTCTCCTTGGCATCCACAGGTATTCACAATACATTTGTTTCTTTACGAGCTTCTCTCTACTCTTACTATTCGTCAGATGTGTCCTTCATATTACGATCTCTGTCAAGTTCCTGTTGTTGTTACTTCTGTTCCATCCGCTCCCAGCCCCACGCCACCGAGGCCCCGCGCGGGGAATCCCGGCATGGCGCCAGAGGACTCATCGCCGAAAGTCAATGACCAGGTATTGCTGATCGGTGTGGTGGCCTCCATGGGCTGGGGTTTAGGGTTCAGGGGTTTAGGGTTTCGGGGTTTCGGGGTTTAGGGTTTAGGTTTTTCAAAAGCCTTCAGGGCTCTTTCAATCAGGGCTCTTAGGGGGCTCTATGAGCATCTGGGAAGTACTTTTTACAGAGGGTTTCAAGGGACCAAAGTATCCACCGGGTTTTGTGCTGCTTTATTTGAGGCCTGGGGTTTAGGGTATGCAGATTTATACAAGGCCTACAGGACCAAATGTACTTGAGTACCCTAAACCCTAAACCCTAAACCCTAAACCCTAAACCCTAAACCCTAAACCCTAAACCCTAAACCTCAAACCCTAAACCCTAAACCCTAAACCCTAAACCCAAACCAAGGCGGTACATGGTACCTCGTAATGTGGGAACCTGATTAAGAAATCCTGGCCGTAACACACCAAACTAGCAGGATTCACAAGCAGAACCCTAAAAAAGGACCAAGGGTTTCTTAATCAGGTTCCTAACCCTAAACCCTAAGCCCTAAACCCTAAACTCCCTAAACCCTAAACCCTAAATTCCTTAAACCCTAAACCCTGAATTCCCTAAATTCCCTAAACCCTAAATTCCCTAAACCCTAGACTTCCAGGTATAGGGTATCCAGGGCTTAGGAGTCGTCGGTTTGGAAAAGGGCCTGAAACCATGTCACCTTAGGATCTTTGGGCCCGCAAGGGTAAGAGAAAGGGACCTAGATAGGTTCCTTTAAGCGTCCCTTTAAGGGTTTTAACCCTAAACCCTAAACCTTTAGGGTTTGGGGTTTAGGGCTTCGGATTTAGGGTTTCAGGGTTCCTTCAAGGGTTGAGGGCTCTAGATCCCCTTTAGGGTTTGGGGGTTTCGGATAATTTCGAGCTTCTGCTATGAGCCTCTTTGAACGACTTCTTCATAACTAGAATAGGAATTTGGGGGTTCCTTATTTCTAGCATAATATACCCCAAAACCCTATTCTAGTTATTAAGGCACCTACATGAAACCCTAAACCCCTAAACCCTAAACCCTCAACCCTAAACCCTAAACCCTAAACCCCGCACCCAGAAACCTGGACTCCCCAACCTGCCAGATCCTGGAACTCAATGCCCAAGGCCCATCCAAGACCAGGAATCCTACATCCAGTCCTACTCTAAACCCTAAACCCTAAACCCCAAACCCAAAGCCCGAAACCCTACCACCCCGAACCCCGAACCCCTAAACCCTAAACCCCAAACCCCTAGACCTCAAGCCCTAATCCGGAAGTAGTCATAAATGCACAGAACCCAACGCCCAGAACCCAATACCCCACAGCCCCAAACCGCACGGTGTCCTCCTTTTAGCTGTCAGACAGAAGACATGGGTTTAGGGTTTAGGGTTTAGGGTTTAGGGTTTAGGGTTTAGGGTTTAGGGGAATCTAGTAATAGATCACCCTGCTTAAATGTACAAGCATACGAAAATACACGCGCCTAAAGCCCTGAACCATAAACCCTAAACCCCTAAACCCACCTCTAATTCTTCAGGCCCCTCTATTGGGGTGTAGGTCTCAAGGTCCAATTCCATGGACCTCCAACCAGAAACTCAAAACCCTAACCTGGAAGTACACTTCGGGGAGCAACGGCTGGAGAAATTGTTCGCACTTGGGAAAACCGATGTCCTAATCGGAGATTTGTCACCTCAAAGGGGGCTTTGTCCTTTTTACGACCTCACTCGAAACGGAATTACTTGTAAATCCCCGACTCCCCCAAACAGTCACAGATCACCTTCAACAAAGCTGACGGAGCATTGAGTACCCGACCGGATTCTGCTTGATTTCAATGCGGAAGAGGTAAACCCTGCAAGCGGGAACCCTGCGTGTATGTGTGCATGTGTGTATGTAGGTATACATCTAAATCTAGACCTATATCCCCATCTGCATATATCTATAGTATAGCTACAGACCGTAGACTACAGACCTATCTCTACGTTCATGTACATGCGCTTGTTTGTACGTACTCTGACCAGACCTGCTGTTTATGTGAGTTCGGGGCTCTAGATTTCAGATATATCGCTCTACTTTTCCGAAAGGACGTCTTACACAGCATTACGCCTTGTCACGGAAGAGCAGACAGGATCTGGGAATCTCAGACGAAATTTGCCGCCTTGAAGACTTTGGAATTTGCGGTTTGGCTTTAGAGTTCAGGGCGTATGCTCTGGGGGTTTAGAGTTTGTCGGTTGTTTTTGGGCCAGGGCCGGGTTGGGTTCAGGGGCCTGTAAACAGCACCACATTGTCAAGCATTTAATTGGGCATGACACGCTTGCCCCAAGAATCCCAAGAAAAAATATGGAAGCGGTTGAATCTGGTGCTTGTTCGACCACAAAGCATTTACGAAGAAACACAGCTTCAATGCACATGCGTGAATTATGCGTCTGTCCATCTCACTTTCGGCCTCTCAGTCTCTGTCTATGCGAACAGAGACCAGCAAACCAAGAAGAAGATCAGCTATGCTAACAGGTGCAAACGCTTTGGTAAACAACAACCCTAGCTAAACCGTAAAACATAAACCCTAAAGTCCAAACCCAAACTCTTGAACCATAAACGCTAAACATAAACCCTAAAGCCTAAACCCAAACTCT